TTATGAAGATGATGCACCATGGGAAGCTTTACCAGTGGAATATACTCAGAGAATTCAACAAGATATTCAAGTCTATCAGGAAACACATTTCCAGAGATTTCGCACTGTGTATGATTCAGACTATGACTATGCATTTGACTGGCAATGGGGACAATTATTTCAGGGAAGGCCGACACAAAGCCTTGGTGAAACATCAAGCTTTTCAGAAAAGACACCACAAGGACGACAACAAAGGGAAAAGCAGTTGGAAATTTCAAATAAACTTTTACAAAATTTGAATCGTAGCGTACAAAAAGAAAAGGAGTTTCTTGAAAAAGAAATTAAAAGAATTGAAAAGGAACTACAAGCAGACACTTGGTGGAGTTCTACAGCAAAAGCAGAATCTAGCAAAAGAAAATCACAAGATGAAGGACCAAGTCAAACAAATGAAACAGATGACAGTCTTTTCCAGGATTCACAAGATCCATGGCCAAGTGAAAAAGACGTTAATACCCCTTGGTTAAATCAACACGGTTTACCATCGCAACCAGAAGATTCCATGAATTTGGACGCACCATGACAAAGGCGATAATGTTCTGACAAAGACATCAGTATCACTTTAATAAAGTTACTTTATTAAAGCTAGTTTATTAAAGTAGTTTGTCCTTTTGTAATAAAGTTTTAGTTTCTTAGTTAAGCTTTTGTAATATCAGGACATGTGTAAAGTGTGTGGGTCCCGTATGAATATTTTAATATTTTCCCTCCTCTATATAAGGAGGACTCCTCTTCATTGTAAATTATCCTTGAACTATCGGAAGTTCAATCTATAAAATCTAGTGTGTTTCTATATTCCTCATGTTCTTCTAAACTCTTTCAAGTTCTCACTTAGTTTCAGAAAGTATGAAGTAATTGTAGATTTGAGTGATATGAAGTAAGATCTGACTAGTAACATGAGTATGCTCTGCAGTTGCATCTTCATGGTGAACCTCTGCATCAGAAAGTGCTCTACTGACTATATGATCCGTCCGGGGTTATAGTGATTCACAGCAAGTCCGAAAGTCAGGCCCTTTGTTGAAGCCCAGTGAGGCTGTGTGTGGGCTAGAACACCGTGATTTGCTGTAGGTTGTTGTTGCACTTGCATTTTTACTGTATAACGGCTGGAAAGTTTCTCAAAATATGCCCAAAATGGTTACCAAACACAGGTTAATATTATTATACTTTTGAAGGTTTGAGCTTCTCAATAACTCTCCTTTGAATGCCCCAAATTTCAACATTTTCCTATTTAGATACATGTTCTTATCAATAGTTAATCAAAAATAAAAAAAAATTAATTACCATGAACACATGTAAGATTGCGATGGAACATCCATTACGAAGTGTTTTATGCTATGACCTGGCAAGACAATAAACTTGCCAATTTGACTTGGCAAATCAAATTATTAAGGTATGATTGTGAATAATATTTGCGGGTATACCATTTGACTTCTGCGATAACTTGATTGTTAGTCAATCAGTTATGATTTCATCCATCTTAAGCGATCAAGCTCACCTAAGGTAAGTGCTGATTTTCTAAGTCAAATTGGCCACCATTTTATTTCAAGCGCTGGAGTTCACTCACCTATATTTATATATCTTGAAAATTTCAATATTTCAAGTTTGACCAAAACTGAATTGCACTCTCTAAGACCTGAAAGTATGCAATGAATCCTCAAAACGTGAAATGCTGACCAGGAAAGAACCAATCCACGAGGTTTGATCCCATTTAACACGAGATACGTGGACCAGTGGTCCAGCCACTCTTTTATGATTTAAATTCTCCAGCAGAAATTACAGGCTGGTTACGTTTGTTACCAAGAACGGCACACGTAACATGTCGGTTGTCTAAACAATAAGTCAAGTTGTATTCAAGCAATCGACAAGAACTTATCATTTTACTCATCACAGTGCAAACACAAGAAGATGAAAATAGGCTTAATGTCCGGTGAGTTTACTGTGATTTGCTCAAAAGTTACGGTACAAAATTGATGGTTAACAAAGGAGTTGAGGGCTAATACAAACAATTTGACGTGCCCAAAATTTGCACCATTTCTGGAAGGGGAGTCCTAGTACTAAGTGTTTCGTTGATTTACCCAAGTGACCGAATGTGAAAAAAATATTTGGAAGTTCTGGTAAAAATAAGTAAAGAATGTGATCATCAACATTTGGGAAGATCAGACGGTGGAGGCGGCAACTTCTGGTGGCGGCGCTTTCCATCCATTACAATCCATGCCATTTTCAATCCCCAGCTTGTGTGGACTTCCAAGTGACAGTGCATGAACCATACACCTAATTCATTTATCCATAAGATATATATTATCAAAATTAATTGCACAAAACGAAAACGGAAAGAACATAAAATTATAAATTTATGTACCTGGATTGTCCGCAAGAAAACGAATAGCCACCCAGCCGCCGGAGGGCACACCAACGGTATTCCTTTCAGCCGGGTCGACCAAATTGAACTTGGCCGGATCCGTTTTAGAGTTGTAGTTTCCAAAACCCTGACCCACAACAAAGAAATTGAACCCATGGAGGTGGAGCGGGTGACTTTCTGCACCGATTATGCTTGTATCCTGCATAATCAACTCCACACTAGTGTTAAAGGGAAGTAACACAACCTTCGTGCCGGAAGTCACCATAATGTTGTTGGGCGGCGTGCCAGTGTAGTTGAAATTGGAAGGCGGGTTCGCTGGAAAATCAGTTGTGTACACCCCTTTTGATTGGTTGGAGAAATGAGCTTGAAGAAGGGCTGTACTTGGCATTACAAATGAGACATTGTTAACAGAAGCTGCCAACATTGTATTGTTGGGTCCTTGGCATGTTTGGTTCTTAGGACATGCATTTAAACCTAACCCTACTGTGAAGAAAAAGTGTTTATCAACTTTTTGAGGGACTTTTGCTGGGAATTTTGCACTATTTAAGCTCCTGATTTTCTTGATGAAACTTGTTGTAAATGTAGTGTCATTGAAAATTGGAAGTTTCGGTTTCAAGAGGGGGAGTTTTTTAATATTCTTGGTGGTGTTTGACGGTGTATGATATTCGAGAATTCCTGCGGTGGTTGAATTGTCGAATGCAGCAGGGCCAGTGGCATAAGGCCGGGCCGCTATGAGGAAGGTTGCGTTAGGATGATGATGTTTCGTTCTGAGAAGTACATTTGTTGTTTGGCCGGGTGTTATGAGAACAATGTTTGTCTTGAATGGTTTTACATAGACAGCATCGGCTTCGACTACGGTGAGGTTGTGGTTCGCAATGCTGAAGAATAATTCATCATTCAGTGCAGCATTGACTAATCTTAAAAGGTACGTCTTCCCTGGTTTCACCTTCAATTTGAAGGTATCTACAAAATTCGAGGAAAAAAAAGTTAACTTGACTAGACACAACTTTTAGACAAGATAGTTCGATAGACGAATGTGTTATAGCACCTTTGGATGAGCAGTTGTACAAAGGTCCTGGAAGACCATTAAAGGTATAGGCGTCAGAAATATTTGGGGCACCTCCTGTTTGCATGGCTTTGTTAATAATTGTCTCTGTATCTGCCTTCCACCATTCACCTGCAAAATTACAGTCACAAGGGGTTAAACAAAAGGGGTCCATCCTAACAACTTAAACTTTTAAATAATTAGTTCAACACGATTATCATTTTAATATTTTACAGAAACCAAAGAAAGATCGACAATTTCATAAATCGATTAATTTTTATACCAAAAATGATAGGGACTTCTTTGAAGGGTTGTGGAAATGGATAGGGAACTCCTCTCTTTGGAAGAATGACTATAGGTCCATAGAGAGTGACTCTAAGCCATGAAATATGGGCATGCCAAAATAAGGTTCCTCTTTGGCCAGTAATGGTGAAATTGTAGACATAACTCTGGCCAGTCTGTATAGGACACTGTGTGATATAAGCCGGTCCATCGGCCCAACCGCTCCTCAGCTGCCGGACTCCGTGCCTGTCATGGCAACATATTCATCAGTATCTTCGAACTTGCTATTTTAGGTATATTTGATAAGATGGATTGGATGGTCGTTCCCAATTATTGTATTTCATACCAATGAATGCTAATATTGTACTGAACATGGTTAACTACTTTAACTATCACTCTGTCGCCTTCCCTGGCAGTGATAGTTGGACCTGGAAACTGCCCATTAACAGTCACAATGTTCTTTGTTTGACACAATCTTGTCACATTTTTCATTTTAATCTACAGGAAAACAATATGAAATCAATATCGTACACTACAAATTATGGTATAATAATGCAAATTGGAATATTTTCATAATGCTGTGCAGAATATATATACGTACATCAAATTTGTAGTGCCTTGTCATGCCCGCACGCTTGGCTAATGCTGGATCGGAGAAAAGCCAGATGGTGATCGCGAGATGGAAGAATGACTTCAGAGAGAAAGAAGCCATTTCGCTTGATTTCTTTTGCAATTTTCTTGTTCGACAGTGATGATTATAGTGACTAGATCTTGCAATGGTGCAGAAGCAAAGAGGCTGCTAAAAATTTATATTGAGGAAAATAGTGTTTGTTTGGTAACTCTTATTTTTTTATTTTTAATAAGTGCTTATGATTAATTTGGTGATTAGGGTTGCAATTATCACAAGATAGGTCAGGTAACAGATTGAAAATTGACCTTATACGTTGATTGCTGGTCCATCTCTACTTTTGAGTGGTATCCAAGTGAGACCATCAATTTAAAATAAATAACACAAGATATAGCATTTTTTGTATATAATTTAAAAGTTGATAAAAATTTAATTTAAAATTAACGATTAATTTTAGCTATACATTTCATCAGACTCAAAAGTTTTATCAACATTTCAATCCCACATTTTACCAACTTTTATTAAAATCTACTAAAAATTCAATTTTTAGCTATACAAAACAGGGAGAGTCGAATGAGGAGCTGCTACTTCATCGGATGGCCCAAGATGGCAGCACTACGTAGGACGGTGCGATTGTCTTGTCTAAGAATTTCTCCGAAATAGGGGCATAGTTGACTTTTTCTATGGAGTTCTAAATTATTTTTCTTGACCTCAGTCGTAAAACAATAATCTTTAATCAACAGAGACATAGTGAATTAATATTTTTTCTTTATTTATTTTTCTAAGGTTAAACAATAAAATGCTAACAAGAATTTGCCGTGATATCTACTAAAGCATGGTCTTGGAAAGGGATTGATTATCCAATATTTGAGCCATTGACAGAATGGTTGCTAAGTTGCCTTCAATCCCTTACCGGCTACCGTTTAAACTTGCTAATCAAGGAAATTTTAAGATGTTAACCCCCTTTTTGTTGGCTGTCGCATCTGACTGGCTACCGCCAGATTAGAAACATAACAGCTTTGATGTTTACCCATTGTTATGAATTACACTCCATTTTTCAAAAAAAGAAAATTACAAACTTCACTTCAAGTTTACATTTGATGACAAATTTTTCCTGTCAGCTTAAAGTAATATACATTTTTCATTTATTCCTCTCTTCTATTTAAAAATCTTATATTATTATATTTAAACTATATATTTTCATTTTTTTTATTTTTGAAATTTTATTTTTTTCAAATAAGATTAACAAATAACTAAAAATCAACATAATCAAATGTTTTAGAAAGATATAATAAAGTCAGTCGAAAATTTTAATACCATTATAATCTTGTCAAAGATTTATAAATTATTAAATAAAATCTTTTTTAAAAAAATACGATTGACAAATAATTAACAAATCAACATAAATAAATATTTTAGAATAATTTAATAAAGCTAATTATAAAGTTCAATACTATTATAAATATTATTATAAAAAGTAATAAAATTATTAAATATATTTTTTCGAGTATAATTTGACAAATAATTAACAAATTTACATAAATAGATATTTTAGAATAATTAAATATAGCTAGTTGAAAAAGCATTAAATGTTTTATATTGCACGATCTCTAATTTTGTACTAATTATGCTTTTTACAATTATAGTATACTAAGTTCGAAAATTAAAGTAATATCATCATAATATTAAAAATGCAAAAATGTTGGCATCAAAGGTTTAAATTCTTTTTAGTTTGTCTTTTTATTATATTAGATCAATTTTAGTTCGTCTATTGAATGATAAATAAATATTCACAAAAATAGATTAAGATTAAATACCTTATTACAAAAGATAAAAATAATAATTAAACTTTTTACGGTTAAAACAATTTAGTTTCGTCCAAATTAGAATTAAGAAAAAATAAATATGAACGCAAATGTAATCTCATAATAATATAAGAGAGAGAGACAAAATGAAAAACTTTCGCTAAAATAGGAGATTTTTGAAAAGAGAGGAAATGTATCTATAATTGTCCTAAATTCCAAGAGACATTTCGGACGTGTCAATATGCGTTGAGTTGTCTAAGAGTTAATTTAATGAACAATCACTGAACTTTAAATTGGTTACCACTTACTCACTCAACTTTAACGCGTTACCGGTCACTCATCTTTCCTAATAGTTAACCATCCATCACTCAGTAGACTTCCATCTCTTCAAATTGACAGAAATGTACACGTGGCTCACGGTTTTCTTACATGGCAAAAACACCCGTTAAATTGACAACCTGGGCACGACATTAACCCATTTAAGTCACGCTTCTTCCCTTTTTCACGACATTTCTGCCTAAATCCCTAAATTGAACGTCCAAGGGCTTTCCGGAGCAAGCTCCCGGCGCAAGGCCACCCAAACTGATGGCTCCCGGCACAAGGCCACCTGGAAGGAACCCGACGGTCGCATCATCTCCACGACCACGAAGGAAGCCGCCATCGCCCAACCCAAAGCCCTCCAAATCGACCGCCAAAATCTGATCTTCCAATATAAATAGCTGGACTTCCAAATAGCCGTAGTTTAAGGCCTGATGTTAATAGTTTTTGACAGCGAATTAAATGTGGCTGCTGTTTAGTGCTACAAATCTCTTTTGTGCGATGTATAAAGTCTATTTGATCAGCAGTTATGTGGGTGAAGATTTGGAATGGCTTTGTAAGATTTGTACAATGTATAAACTCTATGATTAACAATGATATCATATATATGTTTTTGTCAATCATCTATGATGGCTTGGGTTTATAATTTTTCTGTCGTTTCTCAACAGTTTTTGTTGGAATGAGCCTGCTGATGTATACCCCCATTTCCAATAGACTGCATTAAGCTCTAATAGTTACATTGGGATGGAAACTATGCATTTTACAGCTACATGTGTAGTGGATCAGTTTTCCAGTATATTTCTGTGGTGCATTTGCAAAGGTTTGATTAATTGGATTCTTTGGTTGCTGATAGCTGGTAGCTAACTAACTGCTTCATTTGCATGCTCTTCTGGTTAACCTTATAAATGGGAATCCAATTATCTGCAATGTAGTATTCAACTTAAGTAGTAGCAGGATTTTAACCTTTTTTGTTTTTCCTTCTTTCATTTGAACTGGTGCTAACGACAGATTGGCATATCAAAAATGTCTTAGGTGCCTCCAAAAAATTTGCAACTTCCCTTCAGGGAACACAAGGTTTAAAAGTCTAGGGCATGCATGGGCTCTTCACTTGTTCTGTTCTGTAAAATATCTTCTATGTCGTATGGGTTAGATTGTGTTTAATCGAAAATACACATCACATGTTTTGATGACTTTTGAGCTAAGACAAACCAAAAAGTTGAGGTTGGCAAAAGATTAGCCCAAAAAGCATAGTCCAAGGAGCTAACTCCTCAAGCACCCTGATGTTAATGTCATGAGGCACACTAAGTGAAGGCATAAGCCTTAACAAAGGTCACTCAAAGAACAAGCATGCAGGGCTGATGAACACCTTGCAAGATGGAAGCCACAACTCATGAGCCTCGAGCGGTTTTAAAAAATGAAAACACTAGGTAAAATTATGCATTTCTTGTTGGGGAGATGCCTTGTTAACTGTTGCCTATATTCTCAACCATTTTCAATTGTGCAACTAAAATATGTATCTTCCACTCCTTGAAGTATATTTATCATATGGTCATTGCAAGAGTTATGTGCTTATTGGAGGTGAAGAGGATGAAAGATTACAATAAAAATCAGTTATGTGATGCCAGATAGAAGAACACAAAGATTAGGATCTCATATTGTTTATTTGAGATAGAGGGGATGTCTTCAGGGAAGCTTCAAGTGATGATCAAAAGCCTAAACCTGGGGAATTGATTACGAGCAGCCTCAGTGCCTGTAGTTATGTTTGGATATAAAATAAAAGGTAATTAAAACAAATATGCAAATGGCTGAAGTCTTCAAATCCAATTTTCAATAACCTCATAACTAACTTCTAATTTACACAGAATATTGCCCATCTACCAAATCAGCCAATAAAAAAAA